ATGGTCACAGCATATCACTTAGACTGTGGGGAAAGACATTGAATAAATGTGAGCACTTTAACATCGCCTTTTGTTTCTTCATTAGCTTCGGTGTTGCTGTTAGACTTCACATGATGTCGTCCAACTGTCGACATGATACTTTTTCGCGTTTAGCCTTTGACTGCTTAAAGTTAAATCATGGCGCGTGCGTATCCAACTGAGATTACTTTGGGTTGAGAACGCACACTTGTCATCCACAGAAGCAACTATGCTGAAAGCTTAATTGTACAAGTGCGAGACAGCATATGATCGGCAGTCACGTTGTAGCCACACCGCACATACCCCATCAATTCGTATCTGGTATAGACCACACATTCACTCAGATTGGTTAATACCGGATGAACCGACGGTTCAGTGATGATATCAGGTTCCAGCAATCTGGAATCTCTTACGAAGTAGATAAAAGACGAGCTGTTAAATGGGACGATGCGCTGCAAGGCTTTAGACCAAATAATGTGCGTTCACAAATTTATAATATCGCCAGCAATGTACATGCTCCAAACTCGAAACAGCAAGTCATACCACGGCTTTAATGGGTAACACCACAATAGCGGACGAAACAAAGGACGTTCAATTGTCAAGGGCTGGTCTTCTAACTTTGTTGGGCGGTGTTGGTATGTTTCCAAAGATCACCAGGAGCGAAACTCAGCAAAAGAAACGATACAGAAGAATAGCACAAGCTGATTGACTGAAAAGTATCATTTTCCATGGTGTCTGGATGTTTCAGAAGCACTTGCTCGAGACTCCAGTGGGCGGCGGTAGGCTTATGAAGCATTATACACTGCCAATGTGACTCAACCGATCTAAGGTTTACCATTTCTATCCAACTCTGAAGGATCTGGTCCAAGTTTTATAGATATTGTTCTTCAGTCAAAACGCGTGGCGCGAAACGGTCACAATTTGGGGCACAAGTGGCGCAACAAGCTGACTCCTGAGTTACCGACAAAAGCGTTGATGGTCAGGCCACAGCTGACCAAGATGGTGAAATGTCAACAGAGCTTGGAGGTGAGCTTAATAAAGCTTGCTTTCAAAACGGAAATAAGGGGCATGGTCATGTGGCGAAAGAGCAGCAGTATACCCACAACTTGATGAAAGAGATAAATGGTCTAGTGTGTGGTCTCTCCATTAGTCGGAAGTAGTCACAATTCAGTATCAGTAGTTCACGAAAAGTGACTAATTGCTGGCTCCACAAGAGTGGGTATTGGTATATGTAGAAAAGACTTCACTCCGAAGCACTTTATGGGGCAGCTTTACGCCTAAAACATTTTCTTACTTATATGGCACCAGAGTTCAATGTTCATTTTTCCCTCGAGATATTCTAAATAAGACATTTATCTCTTATAAGTTATGAGAAAACTAGTCACAAGGACATTATCCGCTCCAAAGATCGCAAGTAAACGCACTAGAAGTGATCGAAACCTGGTTAACTCTTGAGGTCACAACCCACGAATTCCAGATCAGTGGCTACTCGTGGTTCCGGTGTGACAGACTATCAAAGAACCGAGGCGGCGTGCAGTTATACATTCGGTCCTTGTTGTGCGCGAGACTGGTACACACTTACCGCAGCAAAGATAGCTTGTACGAACAGTTAGAGTGCTCAGTCCGTCTGAGACAGTGTGAACTGTTTGTGGGTGCGGCTTATCGCAGCCCGCGAAATGAATGCCTGGATTAGTTGCCGCATATCAGAAACTACATGAGTTGACCCCGCTTCCTGCCTATGGGAGATTTTAACTCCTCTCGAATACGGGGGCCTGAGGTTCAACTTTTCCCCGGGCACTGTGCAACCAAGGCAAAGTTTGTGAACATAGCATTTGAAACTGGAGCAGCACAACATGTCTGTCAGTCGAGGCACATTACATCGCATTCCGCTCGATCTTGCCTGGACATTTTAGTAAGGAGTTGTTAGCAAAGTGTATAGGAGATACAGGTCCTGGAGCTTCTGGAAGATAGTAACGACTCGATGATGTTAGCCAACCTAGAGCTGCCGCTACCCTACTTGCGTCCGCCGGAGCCATCTTAGAATTATTGGAAGACCGAATTCGATGGCCACAATCAAGCCACCAATGAAGCGGATTAGATTCATCTTTTGAAGCCTGTTACACTATTATATAAGCGGGAGTGCAATCGTTGTGCGCTCGTTTCTTACAACACGATGGTCTTCAAGCTGTATCAATGAAGTCACATTTTTTCGACAGAGAGTGTGGTTAAATGGCTGGAAGGCGACGCGTATTGTGGAATAAATTCCTTGTATCTGGCTCTGCCGACCATTATGTGGCGTACAAAAGGCAACGAGATCTAATGCAACAACGCAAAAGCGAAGGCATCGACAGTTCGAAGTGGAGGTTGCAACCTCAACAAGATTATTTTTGCCTACCTGAAGCGGCACCTGAGGCCGGCAAGTAACATAGCTGTCTTGGGTGTACTGTCGGAGAGCTTGTGACCTCTAGCACTGAACGTGCGTCCGTATTGGTGGAGCACTTCGCTTTCGTACTTACAAGGAGCACTTGCCTATGCCGAGCTCGACGTGTGCAGCCCCTACTGAACTCGAGTGCTTGCAGTGCCATGTAGAAGATGTCCTCAATTTACTCGTCAGTCTTGACGGCACGAAATCTGCCGGACCCGACGGACATCACCTGTTGAATTTAAAGTCCTTATCGACCACCATCTCTCCTGCCGTGACGGATCGATTCAACAGATCGCTGTCCGAGAGTGCATTACCGAGCGACTGGAAATGCTCGGTAGTTAAGCCGATTCCAAAATGCGGTGACCCACACTGTGTAGACTATCACCGACCGGTTTGTCTCTCCTCTGGCGAAGGTGCTTGAGAATAGTGTGCATAAGGGTCTTCTCCAGCTGCTGGAGTCGAAAGATCTCCTAACGCCGGCACAGTACGGCTTCATGAAGAACCGCTCGTGCATCACCACCCCGCTTTTGAGGCGGTAGGAATGGTTGCAAGTGTTGAACCTGGGGAAGTCAGTAGATGTTATCTATATTGATTTCAGTAATGCTTTCGATAAAGTGAACCATGAGGTTCTGATCCATAAGCTGGGATGTGTAGTGTTGGTTGCGCACTGCACCAATAGATCAGTGACTTCCTTATTGGGTGAAGTTGTCGGGTTCAAGGGGATGTCCGCCTAACGGACTAGTACCCCTCCACTAGCGGTGTACCGCAAGGCACAGTACTGAGGCACATTGTATTCCTCATCCACATAAGGAACCGTCTCAACTTCTTTGGTCGCCTTGTACACTGTTTGCAGACTAGTTGAAGATTTGGAGGATAACTGATTCCTCCGATGTCTGTGAAGTCCTTTAACAGGACCTCGACCGCCTATCTCAGTGGTCTGCAGAAGTTGACCTACCGGTCCACCCGGTTAATTCCTCGATTATGAGCCTGGGGAGGGGTGGTAATGGACGTGAGTACACCCTGGCTGGCCACCCGCTGCATCCCACCAGTTCCGTAAACGATCTAGGCGTACTCTCAGTTTGTTATCTGAAGTCTATTGACAACACGATCTGACTGAAGGGAAACGGACTTCGCTCGCTTAGGGGACTTAAACGCAGCTTTTGTACTTGGTCTGAAGAGATTGCCACCCGTCTGTTCTCTTCCATAATAAGACCGGTGCTTGAGTACGGCACACCCGCTTATTGCCCGATCACAATAGGTGAGGTGCAGAGACAGGAAAGGGTCCAGCATGTAGCTACCCGGCTCATCCCCAGTATACGGGGTATATCGTACGACGACCGTAGGAGACTAGGGCTGTATATCCTGTGAAATCGTCAGCTTCGAGTAAATCACATTATGTCGCACCGGATACTGCACCTGGGCCACTTCCCTATGTTGAAGCCGCTGCTGCACGTTCGCGCACAAATCAGCACACGCAGACACCGGTACAAACTAGTGGTGCCGGATATAAAGCGCAACGCTCACCCTCTATGCTTCGAGCGTCGAGTGGCGCAATATTACAGTAAGTTGCCTGAGATATTAGTCCAGGTCAATTCGGTGTCGGGAATTTAAGTGCTTCCCTGACTAGTGGTATAGGGAGAAGATGTAGTGAAGCTGCAATGTGCTTCTAACGCGCAGGAATCATCGACGTGTTTATGGACATGTGCCCGATGCAACTACGAAAGAACAACACAGCTTTTTATCTTCTCTCTCTCTATTCTCAGTTTCGAAGAAAACAGATAGTGAAGCTGAACTTGCCGGCTTGCTAGCACTTTGCTCCAGGAATAGAATCACTGACGTACTGGGTGGTGGCTGTTTCTCTGCTTGTGGTGCAGAACAAATCGGGGTGCGCGTTTTAGCGCAGTTCACTCTATTGATCCGCTTATTAGGCTTGTCGGCTGTCTTCGGCGCAAGTTTTGACTGACATTGCTTACAAATGGTCTTCAAAAATTCTTGCTGAACCCTTAAATTACGCGGAATTGGTCCACAGACAGATCGATGTATTAAATATGAAACTACACGCTGCATAAACCGCATGTAATCGTGTGTGAGGGATCTCCGACGAATCCGGAGCGACCGTCACAAGGAATGTGCCTTACCATTTCAAAAGTTGGGACCCATCCTTAAGACTGAAGCAGGGTACTGCGGGATCACAGAAAATACAACCAGCTAGCACTCTTATTTCTGATGAAGTAAATCTGAATCATTAATGTGGGTGAAGTACACGAATATTCAGGGGATATAATTACTTTAACAATGTCAAGAACGAGGCAAAATGACCTGATACGAGTAAAATACGACTCGGACGGCGCTATAACCATCATCGTCATCATCGTCATCAGCATCATCGGCATCATCATCATCATATCGTCATCATTTGACAATGTATCTTGCCTCATCCACATCCTACGCAGACAGCGAACACAAGGCTACGTTCACCATCACGACATTGCTACACGAATGCTCCGCGTTTGTTATTTACGGATCTATCCGGTGGATCACAGAAGGCCATCGAGTGCAAGTTTTAACGGATTCTGATTGGTTGCACAATCAACGTGAGAATACTTGAGGTTATTGATTTAGAGAGTAAATCTGGGTGGAATACACTGACAGATTGCATTCTTATATGGTTACAACACAGTGGGGCTTATTTGTAGATTGGAACTACGTGTTGTTGTAGACCGCACAGATACGAGACCCTTTGCTGTGCAATACATGTGGATACAGTTGGGAGGGAATTGAGCTGTCGCCGAAGGCAGCTGGAACTCGCTGCATGAATCTGCATGTAACCATTGCACAAAGATAACCAAACAGATAGATGTAGTATTTGGCATTTTCGAAAAGCAGTGATATTTCGGCCTCACCAATGGTCTCTGGAGCATTGCAGATTAGCATAAAATGTGACGTTGAAGGTCTGCGCGACGTCACCAGACTCCAATTCATTCTTAACTTTCATGAACAGCCAATGTTCCAGACAGTCGTATGCGATGGATTGGAAGTCGTAATGAAATTTATTGACAAACATATGCTTTGCTGTCGTAAGAGTGAATAGATCGTTAATTCCCATGATACACACGTTGCGAACTGAGCGTCCACTGTGACATTCCGAAGCCTTACCAGTCCATTTCGTAAATCTAATCACTTGTGTTCGCGTTGGATTTGTATCATTCATTGTCCAGCTGCAGCCACCAGGAGCACGTAATGCTTGGTTGTAGTGTAATGTCGGCAGAAATAGCTCATCCTGGCATAGAACTTTGCGACCTTCGGAACGAAGGGCCTGCAGAATTTCCGAGGCATTTCTATTGGTGTGTATGTATTGAACGAACTCTCGGGTCAATGCTGAGTAAAAATATCCTTTATACCACTGTACCTGTGTTAGAATGAGAAAACATGTATTCGTTGTGATTCAGTGTGAGTTATCGCCGTGGTTCACAGAAATACTGCTCTCGAGTAAATGCATAGGGGTAGGAGCCGACACATTTTCATTACAGTTAGTCGGCGGAAAGTTGCCCCACCTGCGCATGCCAAGACGCTGCGGATGTCGTTAACGGCATGCCAAGCAGTCGGCTGATCATGCATCGAGATCAGTGGCCTCATGCCAAGTAATGAGACTAGTGACACAACAAAAGAACGATGGAAAATACTAACTAAAATCCAAAACATCTAAACTTACTTGTATGTGGCACCGCTGACTCCATCGCTGGATGTGCGAGCAACATCTGGTGGACGACGAACAACAATCATTACGGTAATGCGAACTAGTAGAGTATTACAAGATCGTCAAGGAAAGTAACCATAGGTTATCTGCCATCTGATTCAGAAGCATTAAAACCTACTACAACTGCAGTACACTTCTCATTGGCAGCATTGTGTGATCTGCGCATATCGGACATATAGTTAACACAATAAACGACAATGAGCGACCTGCAAGTGATGATGAAGTCCACGTAGCGGTAACACTTTTGCGCATGATTTAACTACCGGATGGCGCATTGTCACCCTTCTTATCGAGCACTTAAAAGGAACTAGCAGCCCTACAACTGATACAGAGTAACTGTCTAATGCTACGATCATCAACCCATATAGCACAAGCATGTCTGCAGGTTCGTCTAGTGCGGATGTGCTGCCCCGAACTGATGGACGCGAGTTGGAACATAGTACTACAAGTACTCTAATTAATTGACTGAAGGAGCTCATTGAATTATGCCTGATATTGTAATTATATCACTTGTGACTACGTTCAAGCTATGGTTCTCTGTTCACCAATGTGTACTGCCACTCATTGGTCAGTCTGTGTATTAATTCCCAACGAGGTCAGAGCCATTACAGTATGGTTTGATCTCCAAGCCTAAGTGATCGTTGTAGAGATCGTGTCTCCGCCAGCAAGTTCCAGATGTTGTCCTAACTCGGATTCTGCTCTCAAACTCTAGGCATAGATAGGATAAAGTGTACATTTTGAAATGTAGAACACTGCTTGTTTAGCTAAGTTTCGATGTGCGGTTCTGCTGGTCTATTTGTTGCTGCACACAACAGTATTTCATAAGATGATCTAATAGCTTAGATGATTAACAGGTTAAGTTGCATTCAAGAAACAAAATTGGAGGTGAATGACAAAAGCGGTTTAGTACGTGAAATCCTAGGTCCTTCGAAAACGTTTCTACTAAATTTGCTACTACATCTCCGTAGGATTTCCAATGAGGCTTTGTTAAATTTTGTAAACCTTTTCCATCGGTATCACTAGCATGATCTCCCGTGCTCTGTTTGTGTACTCTGGAATTGACCGAGTTGAAACGTGCCGTGGGCGCTAAAGAACTAGGTACCATCGGTCCACGGTGTACTGATAACAGAAACAATTTGCACCACATAGAATAAATCTCGGTCTATCTTTGAGGTGAAGAAAATTTGAGTGTTTCTGGCTATCAACAATACTGTCTATGGTCGACGTTGTTTTTCTCTTGGACTATTCCGTTAGAAGGGTTGGGGACAGCAACTCTGACCCTGAACGCTGAGGTAAACGTGTCACGGCTGATTCACTCACTCATCCTTTATGAAATAATGTTTTAGTGTACTTACCTCAAATGATAATGATTTGCGTGGAATCCGGTTCTTCCAAGGACCATCGTTCACTCCGTCAATGAGATTTGAGCCATGAATTGCTTTCAATAATCGCACTAGCTCCATATTTGTCCGCAGTGGAAATTCGGTACCACTAACAGATAGCAGATACCTCCACTGAATTGATGTGTTCAACAGCAGCATTTGGGAGCAGACCAACAGTGCCTCCACAGTTGTCAGATCACCCCAATTCATCCTAGTTCTCATAGATTGAGGCACAATCAGCACATTAGATCCGAAACATGTGGCCAATCCTTCCATGTCTGCAACAAATGTTGCCGTGGATTTGGCGTCTATGTGGATGCAGTAAACATTGCTTGGTCGGTAGATGGCCCTCAGTAACCTGGCCACTTGTGAAGGCTCCTTGTACACTGCAATGGAGAAGGCGAGTCCAAAATTCCATTCTTCTGAGCTCGTCTGTGTCTGAAATGCGTTGATCCATTTAAATGCACGGCAGTTTGAGCTACTGTTCAGGAATCCTGGTACCATTCTTGTCACATTCTTTGTCGCTAGAAGTCTAACCTGAGCATTACCCAAGCGAGTGGATAGCATTTGATGGCACACGCCCGTCAGATTATCTTCCAGTTCACTTATAAGCGACTTTCGGTACGCTTGAGATGCATACGGGAAGACGTAGTATGACACAGCATATCCGCATAGTACAACAGCTAACAAGGAGTATTTGACGGTTCTTTTGCTGCGGACGCTGTGGATAGGTGATCCCGAACAACACTCACACGTCATTAAGCATTTCATACCTGACCACAGCTGTGTGATCACCCTTAAATGACTAACTCGTAGGCTGCTACGCTGCAACTCATATACCTTAAAATGTACTACCAATCGATAGGTGTTAGTGCGCGGCGAAGATAAAGTACACATCAAGGTGACCACGCCTTGCAGAAAACCAAGATAAAATATTTCTTTAGAATACAATAGCATGTAATTTAAGATCAAGGTCAATTAATCTAACCTTCGAGAATCGAATGTTTTCCCATATCTCTGCGAACTGCTAATTAGTGCAAGAGAATTTCCACACAGCTAAATACTTAGACACCCATAAAAATCAGGCTGCCTTAAAATGTACAGCGCTATAGTAATGCTTGAGATGGGTGCTAGTTTGGTTTTATCTGAAAGTTATAACCGCTTCAAGAGTTTCTAAATCCTGCGTCGTAATTTGCTACTGTAAGTGGATCTCGTGTCATTCGGGGCCAACCTGCTGTCAGCAACGTTCGTAACTTGCATAGGAGTGAAGGATAAAACGCGCTATAGCGCAGCTAGCTTACCAATCATGACGGTCAGAATCTGTCCCCGTGGCCAACTAGCTTAAGATGCTGAATGGCGGTTCAAGCCGCTGGTGGTCATTAATTCGAATCTTGATGCCCAATAGGCTGAAACAGCGGTATAATGACGCACTAGGACAAATAAACAAGTATCCAACTTGGAAGCTGGGTGCAACACTATTCAATTAATTTTATCAAAAACCCCTACATATGAGTACATCGGAATATATGACCGCCCTAACAGTTTCTAAATGCTATGTCTTACATAGCTACTGTTAGTGGACTTCGTGTCTTTCGGGGACAAAACTCTCCGCTGCAACCTTCGTCATTTGCATGGCAGTGGAGGATAGGACGCGGTATATCGCAGTTAGCTTGTAAATCATGACGGTCCGAAGTTGTCCCCCGAGGCCCCGTGGCATAATCTGCTGACTGGCGGTCCAAGCCGCTGGTAGTCATGGGTTCGAATCCTGATGGATACGACGGATGCGCACTACTGACGATGCCCAATAAGCGGAAACTGCAGTCTACTGCTTCTCCAGACATGTGGACCACTGTCTGATTTGGAAGGTGACTGCGAAGAACCTCAATTTATTGTATCAATATCCCCAGCGCGGAATGGATATTTTTGATTTGGGTTATCTGCATCGCAATATTTTAAGAGAGGTAAAAGTGTAAAAGGATTTTGTTAAAACAAATAATCCAGCAAGAATAAACATATAAATATTTTTATTGTTGTCATATTTCTTTGTTGTCTCTTTAATTATTACTTCGAGTTTATGGCTTCTGCTAGCTCTTTGGCTATCTTATAGACCTCTACTAATTTGTATATATATTTTCCATTGCACAGCTTTGTCTATATTTGCTTTTATATATATATATATATATATATATATATATATATGGTTGGCGGCATCTGGTTTCGGATTTGCCCCTCACTGTGGCCAGCCACAGGACGCCTGCTCCTACAGAGGGACCATGGGTGGCTTGCGCTGCACCACCCACAGCTCCAACCACACACCCCATGTCCAGTGTAAACCCGAAGGAATAAGACCGGGAGGCATGTGGATGGGAGCCACGTTTCATCAACGGAGCCGGCCCACAATCCTTCACAGACAAACACAAGCACGCTGTATTTGTGGAATCAAGTGCACACAAGGCGGTGGCTGGACCGTAGTCCGCTCCACACTGAGTGCATGGAACCACTCTCTGAACCTAGCACGGCCACAAGGACCGTGCACCCCGTCCCTTCCAGCAACGACCAACTGTCTCCTGGAGTCAGTATGGACGAGGTAGTGCGTAATAAGCAGGTAGGTAGCTTGTCAACATGCACATCAAGCGCATTCACACCGGGAATATTAAGCAACAGCCCATCACTTGAAATGACATTAACAAGTAAAATAAATCGAATAGTGCATAGAGGTACGGTGACATAACTCTTCAATAAATAAGCATATGCAATAAATTAGTTGCCAACAAGCTATTCACAGGTTATTCCACAAGTCATTCAGGAAAATGCCATAAACGCGGTGTGGATAACGAAGATTAGCACAATTAGCGTAAGCAACGTAGTTAATAGAAGATTATTCAGGTAGGAAGAATAAACCAATTAAAGTGGAATGCAACTTATCCAGCTTTAAAATGCCCTAGTTTAAGTGTATGTTTGTTTAGCCCAACTGCGGTGAAGAAGCATCATGAATGCAACATCAGCCTCAGCATGGAGCTTAAATTATATATATATATATATATATATATATATATATATATATATTTATTCAGTATGACAGGTGTTTGCACGGCTGTTTGCGCTTGTTGGGGTTTTATAGGAAAAGACGGTTGCGTATTATTACGTAATTAACGTTCGTAGCTGAATTAACCCCGGAGGTGGCCTGCGGTGAATTCGTCAACATATTTACCAGGCTCGTGGCAAGGACATCTGAAGCCAAACTCTACCGACCTAAAAGGATGAAGTCTTTCGTAAGGAGCAGGACACGTAAGTGCATGGCAATAAGGGACTTGGAATGACATACCTATATAGCATCCCCGAAAGACCATACCTGGGAGGTCTACACAATACAAAGGAACCACTGTGTCAAACTCGTCCGGGAGGATAAATTTAAAAATCAACCAGATCTAGTGGAAAAGTTGTGCTCCAATCCCAATCTGCTATACAGACACGTAAACAATTTGCGTCGTGTTAAGCGCGGTATTCCTGCTCTGCACACAGCATGCGGATTAGCCCAAACCGCACAAGAGGCAGCCAACGTCCTTGGACAACAATTTGGCCGTACCTTCCAAAGCGCGCAATCACCATACATCCTGCCTAAGCAGATAACACCGCCATCAGGGCTTAATCATATATCGTTCACCTCCGCAGCTGTACTGAAGAGGCTGATGTCTCTGCGCGAGTTCAGCTCCCCGGGTGCGGACGGCATTCGTCCAAAGGCGTTGAAAGTTTCTGCCATGAGTTTGGCAGGACCATTAGCAATTTTCTTTCAATGATGTCTGAACGAGATGCACATCCCCACAATGTGGAAGCATGGAATCATCCCGCCTATCTACAAAAGTGGTAGCTGTGCTGAACCAGCAAACTGTCGCCCGATAGCACTACTGCCTGTGAACTCCAAGGTTACGGAGTCCATTATAGCCGAAGCTTTGATGGGGTACCTGGAGAACAGCAAAATTCTCGTTCCGCAACAGCATGGATTTCGCCGAAATCACTCCTGTACAACTAATCACTTGATTGCTCGTGCAAGCTGGACGGAATCCGTGGACGCTGGTGTAGGAGTTGACGCGGCCTACTTGGATTTCTCAAAGGCATTCAACCGCACAGACCATCGCATTCTCCTCCACAAACTCCAGAATTATGGAATCGGTAATCCTGTTCTAGGCTGGATAGGAGACTTTCTCCTACAACGTCACCTGAATGCGAGGTTTCGAAGCGACCTATCAGAATCCATCGAAGTTCAATGCGGCGTACCTCAGGGCTCGACACTTGGATCCCGCCTGTTCCTGGTCTTCATAAATGATCTCGCGAGTGTGCTATCTTCTAACTGTTTGCTATTTGCTGATGACCTAAAGGTATGGCGCACTATAACTGCAGTGGAGAATCACACATTCTTACAGTAGGACCTGGACAAAACGTACACATGGTCCATCGAGAACATGCTGCATTTCAACGTCACCAAGTGCAAAGTTCTCAGTATACGGCACATGAGTATGCACAACTACCGCCTAGGACCACAAATTCTACAGCGGGCTTCTCACGATTGCGATCTCGGTGTGATAGTTCAAAATGACCTCGGTTGTTCGAAGCAGACTAAAAAGGCAGCTAAGAAAGCGAACCAGTACCTCTGCCTTCTTCGTAGAGCCTTCGGGAAGTTTGACCCTTCAGTCTTCCCAAAAATGCTTAGTGCGTCCGTGAGGCCGCACGCGGAGTACGCTATTCAAGCGTGGCAACCCTGGCTCAAGCACCATCTCACCGCGCTCGATACTGCACAACGTAGGGCAACGAAGAGCGTCAGAGGTTAGACCAGCCTCTCCTACCCACTCAGGCTGAAGACCCACCAAATATACAGTGGATGTTATCGGCGTCTAAGGGGCGATCTCATAATGGTGTACCTAATCCTGAGAGACCCCAACCACCCATGCCATTCCCTTCTAATACTCAATCAAAACACCTCGCTAAGAGGTCACCAGTTTAAGTTAGTCACGCAGTACAGCCGCCTGGAATGTCGGCGAAACTATTTCTCCCTTCGAGTTGCACAGCCTTGGAACGCCATCCCAGAACATGTAATTAATGCACCCACCCTATCCCTTTTCAAAAAAACGCCTTGACGATACCCTGTCACATTTACACTACGTGCTATAGCTCATGACCACCAGATGCTGGCACTAATGCACAAAAGACAGGGGATAGTGCCATAACCCTACTCGAGAATGAGTCATTCCAAACGCCTTGCACGAAATTTGATAAACGCTACTACTATAGACACTGGATTTCTGTACCTGTCGACCGACGATAATCGCACACAAGTAAGCGTTGTCCTTGATATCGGTTTTTTAAATTTTTCTCACCTATGATGTAAACAATAACCACTCACCTGTTGCTTTGTGTGAGTACATTCGCATATCAAACTCCCTCTATACGACAGTGCAGTTACACCTATAAGCGCCCGAACTGAAGACTCCATTATCGCTTCGCTACATTTTGTCACGCTATCCACCCTACGGTACATGTCAAGCACCTGCTCTTTTACCCGTTATTAATCATTGTTCATTGTTCAAACAAATAATAATGAAAACACCGAGATTAGGTAGGAAAATAGATTGTCATAAGTGACAATGGATTGACACAATTCAACACTGTATAACGGTAGGGCACAAGTCACTGTTCAATCGTATAGCCTGTAGTCAGCCCCGGTCATCGGCCGTGGTGCAAGTGATGCTTATGCTGTGCCTTTTTCAGGTCACACATGAGTCGATAAGGTCCAGTGACCTTGTATCGGCCAAGCATGCACGTCTCACCTGTGCGTGCGTGCG